GAAGCGGTTCCAGGAGCGGTTGACGTTGGACCACGGCAAAGGAGCTGGAAGAAAACCGGGACCAGAGAACAAAAAGACGGAGGGAAAGGTGAAGCGGATGATTAAAGCAAATCCCAACGTCTCAAGCCGTGATTTGGCTAAAAAGATCGGCATGTCGCAGAGCTACGTCCAGAATGCAAAGAAGAGAGCTGGACTACATACATACAAGGTACAGAACTTCCCAAACCGCGATGAGCGGCAACAATCGACGGCTGAAACTCGGGCACGGAAGCTCTACGAGAAGATGCTGACAAAATATGGCTGCTGTGTGATGGACGACGAAACGTATATAAAAGCCGATTTTAAGCAAATTCCGGGGTTGGAGTTTTTCACCGGCAAGAGCAAGTTCGATGTGGACGACAAATTTAAGAAGAAGAAAATGTCGAAGTTCGCCTCCAAATATCTCATTTGGCAGGCCATCTGCTCTTGCGGACTGAGGAGTGAGCCTTTCGTGACAAAGGGCACAGTAAATGGCGAGATCTACAAATCGGAGTGCCTCGAGAAGCGCCTTTTGCCGTTCTTGCAGCAGCACGACGAAGCTCCGCTATTTTGGCCAGATTTGGCATCATGCCACTATTCTAAAAGTGTCCTGGAGTGGTTTGAGGCCAATTCTGTCCATTTTGTTCCAAAGGACATAAATCCGCCAAACTGTCCGGAGCTGCGCCCGGTGGAGCAGTACTGGGCAATAATGAAGCGGGAACTTCGGAAAAGCAAGAAGACAGTCAAAGACGAGAAGGACATGTTAAGAAAATGAAAAAAAAAACTGAGAAACTGGTACCGGATGACACTTTAAAGACTTTGATGGAGGGCATCAAGCAAAAATGCGTTCAATTTTACTCTCAAGGCTCCATCGATTAACTTTTCTTTTGATTTTTGAAGTAAATATATGTATAAAACTACCCTAAAATTTTGGTTTGATTCTAAACATTATAAGAAAATTTGCATGACATTTTCGGTGTCGCAATAATTTCGTGTTCGCCCTTTATTCTCCACTCAATGTATAAACTTATCGAAGATCATCGAATTTTCAACGATGAAACCTTCACCCAACCGGGGGATGTAAGATTCGCTTACAATTATGTGGGATTCATCATCAGAGGATGTTAGTGGAGACCGCATGAACCAAGGATGCGATATACTTAGCTGCGGTCCAATGCAAGAAAATTGGAGACCGAAAAATGAAGAGTGTAGTGAGGTAAATTAGTTATGTCGAAAAAAATAGGAAATAGGTTGCCGACTGGACTCGAACCACGAACGTTGCGATTATCAGACCTGTGCTTTCTACACTGCTCTCTCCATGCTTCTGAATATGGGTAGCCTAAAAACACTCATGAAGCGCTCATTTTCTCGCATACTCTGCTGTTTCTGCTGGAGAGATTCGAGGCAAGTGTGTGCGTCGTTCTACAATGTTCTACAATGTGCGTCGTTCTACATAGGTATAGTCGAAAGTGTAGATAGAACACGAAATAAAAAAGACAAAAAACCATTACATCGCTTGCATGGTCAATTTCTAACATTCGTTGCGTTGTTCATGAACAGATGATGATAGGAAACGGAACTAACGTTCATTGTAATAGATTTTTGGTTTGCGTGTATAAATTTACATGCTCGTGTAAATTTAAATCAACAAACATTGAGAAAGCTAATATGGCGGACGGACCGATGATTCGATCAGCTTTTTCTCCGGTCAGTTTGTTTTGTTCTGTGCGCTCAGTTTTATCGTGCAAAAGCGCGTCCACAAAAAGAAAATGGATGACGGACAAAATATTGGAAAAAGCGGTTTTATACAGAGAGCAGAAAATCAAAAATTCGTCCAGAAAATCAAAAATTTGGATATGGAAAAAAAAAAAAAAAAAAAACATTCAAAAATGCACTCGTGGTTCCTTTTTTCTCCTGACTGATCGTTTTGATGCAGTAGTGAAAGTGTAGGGTATGTACTGTACCGTGAAGGCGGGTTATTCTGCGTGGGTGATAATTCCGCGTACTTGACAATCAGTTCGATTTTATGAAAATTTGATCATACAGCGAAATTCATGTAATTCTTAATGTCCTGTAAAATGACAAGGTGAGAACATCTTAAGCCATCCATTTAACATTCAAGTGACGTTTAATTTTGCATGCATGTAAATGTCGAGTCGTGTAAATTTAAAAACCAATTTAGTTTTACATGAATATGCATGCTCTTTTTATGTGCATGTAAATTCGTTTAAAATTACAAAATAATTTTAAATGTGTATGTTGAGAACCCAACACACAACTTGTTGTCATGTATAAATTTAAATTTTTCGCAAAATAATATAAAATATGGAATGATCTCACCGATCTCTCAAAAATGACATGGTCCAAATCGCAGAGTCTTCGTTTTGTAAGCATGCCTTCCTGCACATTCGATTTCCGTCAATGGATGTCATCCGATGTCCGTCGGGATTGGCACGAGATTGCGGAACAGAGACTGACGTTAAATAAAGGAAAAATACAAAATCGTAAAAACACCACTACACTTCGCAACCCATAAATTTAACTCTTGAACCGCGCACTAGAAAATACTAATCCAACGACGAAACCGAAAATAACGGAAAACCCGAATCACAGCTCTCTGCTTAAAATACACATGGAAATTGCCTTCAATTTTTATACTCACGCACAAGCGCCTTCAACCAAAAATCGAAAAAAAAAACATAGACGAAAAATATGACAACTGAAAAATGTTCGCGTCCGTTTAGAAGCCCTGCCATTTTGGAATCTAGTAGTGTTCAAAAATTCGAAATCTCACGCCAAATGGCCGAACACCGCCTATTGCTATACTGCTAGACTGAGTAAAATGTTCATGAATTTTCCTAATATCCTAAAAGTCTGTTCAGGAAAAGCCCGGAAAGTTCAACTCACTTTTGAGTAAATTCACTATTGACGAAATTGAATCGACTCATCTAAATTTTGAGTCGTTCTGATTGTCCATGTTAGGCCGAACTCCTGCAAAATGCAATGCAAATTTGGAAATTTTCAGTCTTAAATTCGTTTTTATTATTAGCCGAAAATGCTCATTTACCACTTACTCTCAGCAGTTATCGAATCCAGAGAAAACGCAAAAAAACAAACTTTTCTTCCATCCACCCTTTTCCCACCATCGAGCCTTGAACCCACAGCCGCCGCCGCTGACAAGGGTAGTGACACCGACTGACAACGAGTAGAATTAATTGCATTTTATTAGGAACAAGCTGCTCAAACTTGGGTCATCGAATGACACGAATATGCCCCAACTCGGTGACTTCTCCTGATAGGTGAAACCTAATGTCACTTTAATGAGTTGTCTGTTGTTCGGCTCAGAAAGTAGATGAAAGAAAGAAGGATATGCCCTGTGAGTTTATGCACAGTGCTTCAATTAATCATGCTTTACACACGGCTAGGAGACTGATAGTGTTGCATAAATCAAGTTTAGCATATTCCGCTTCATCAGTGCAATGTGACGGCTCTCATCCATTCTTTCGTAAGAACAAGAAAGTTGCCTTACCCTCAAGTTTTACCATCTTGTTGGCAATGAAGCAATAATACCGGGTGGGAACAGCAAAAAATCCCTTTGAAATTAAAATTATGACCGGAATAATAATCACCCGAACCGAACGCTTTTCGCTTCCATTTTTCTTCTTCCAGGTCCGTCAAATAGCGAGATGTAGCGGCAGGAGTGATGCTGCATGTGCTTAGGTTGTCGTTTCCTGGTCCGTTTTTCCTCCATCACCATCCGTCCGTTCGTCGGCCGTCGTGTGGCATTATCCTAACTAATGGTTTCCTCGGCAATGTTCTTACTTTGTTCACGGGCCAGTACGTGAGGATCGACAGTAGTTTTTTTTTTTCTTTTCACGTTCCGGATTGTTCCCGACAAAGGCGGCATGTCCTATAGCATTTGAACCAATCACGAAGATGGGGGATGGAGGCGGGAGAACATTGTTGAAGGGACGAGAAAAAACCTCCACTCGAATAGTATCATTTCATCACGAGCTAGACGTCGCGGTTGCCGGTCTATCGTCTCTTAGTGCAGTCCCTCAGAGGAGCTTCTGTGCTCATGTGCGGAGAAACTATCGGATGTATCATTCTGCCAGCAGAAGAGTGCACTTGAAATGCAGCAAGCGTATGCCGCAAACGTAACGAACTGCATTAGAAAAATGGGTTTTGAAGGGTGGAGTGAACCCGGCGTTGCCGGTACTCCTTGTGATAAAGACAAGGCAAAACCAACGAGGAGGACAAGGATAACCTGTCAAGAATCAGGAAAGAGTAGCGGAACAACACGGTTGGAAACTCTGTTGGTAAATATAAGACATTTTAGACCGAGTGGAAATCATGCAGAAGCCGAAGTTGCTGGCGGAATGCTTGTTATGGCTGGAATGCGGTTTATTTTTATTAAAAAAAAACGGATGTGGAAGGCACGTGCTACGTCGACTGGAGGAAAGGATTTTGTCGCTTAAAGATATGGAAAATGTGATAACAGTTGAATTGTATGCTGATTTTCAGAGATCAATGTTAGATTTACACTATTGTTCAAACCATTGACTGCTCTCCAAGCTACGATTACCTAAAATTATCGGTATTTTTACCGATAAAAATCGTTGCCTTTTACTTTAAACAGGCTAATTTTTGGTAATCCATGATTGCCGATAATTTAGGTATGTGCACTTTATAAGATTATCGGCAATTTTTACCGATATCTAGGTATTCTTTACCGACTTTGAGGTATGTGCATCTTGACGTGTGGCGCACATTTTTCTGCTTTGGAAATTGGAGTTATTCAAGGAAAACACAAATACGGTAGTCGGAGAAGTTGACTGCACCTTTTATACAAAGGTGGGAATCATCTGACAAGTTGCGTTGATATACATATTCGTATTGCGCCCAAGAATAATACTTTTGTTCATCCTCTGTCTGTTACAGAAACTTTTATTTCAGGAAAAAAAAAATTCAAACGAGTCAAACCCGACCCAAAGTTTTCGTTCGCATCTTGGATTCGAAGAAAGGAAACAGCAGCAAGTCCTTCGATTTCGTGCGGTGATGTTGTGGTGACACTTCTTTTCTTTTGCATAATATCCGTCCATCTCTTCGGGTCAGCTACCACCGCACCGGTATAGAAGTAGTAAATCGACACGACACGCTTCCGGGTCGGAAGGGGGAAACTTGCCGCAAAAGTTTCCTTTCGACAAATTCTCACATTTTGATTTATATTTTCCGGACTTCACAAACTGTCTTCGGGGTGACGAAAGTTGTAAAACTGTTCGGGCAAATTTCGATTTCAAATTTTAGATTGAATACTTTTTGTCCCCTGCCAAGGCGGATAGTTGATGGTGAACCCAAAAGTTGTGCTGCCTTTCACTATTTGTCAGCTCATATTTAAATACAGCCAACTTTAACTGATTCCTGTTTTCTCCCATTTCTTCCGCAGACTTGCTACGAGATGGAACGATACCTGAAAGATGAGCCAAAACTGCAGACTTATAAGAAGCTGCCAGCTGACCTAGACACACCATGGGACCTGTTTGCCGCGCCCGGACCTATCTCCGGCTGGAAAGTAGAAGTAGATTCGTGTTGTATAGCAGAGTTAAATTTAAATGATAGACATTCAGACTCACATTCAAACTCATCATCCTCTTCCACCTCGTCGTCTCCGTGCTCCGGATCGTGGGACAGCAGTTCTACGCTGAGTTGTGCGGTGGTGGTAAAAAAGGAACGGCTCGATCCGGACGACGACGAGGACAACAATAGTGACAGCTACGACGAACAGAGTGAAAAGTTTGGCAAAATCTCCGTACATCATCACCTTCATCACCCGCAGAATGCGATCGAACTAAGGCTAGTGGCACGAGCGACGACCTCCGACCTGTTACCAACGTTAACACCTCCCTCCTCACCGGAGTCGCATCTTAGTATAGGCAACAAAGGCAGTACGATGCTGGCCACGACTGTGAAAACTGAACCGGAAATCGCGTTACTGGACCATCAGGGTTTTCTGAGGGTATCGACGGGGACGCACATACCACGGAATGCGATCGTCCGATTAACCACGTCCAGCAGTAAAGGAGCCGTCGGGCTGACGCGAGTGATACAGGTCAGTCCCCAGCTGCAAGCCGTCATCGCCCAGAGGAGTTCAACGTCGTCCCCTAGTGCATCGTTATCGTCAGGTACAAACGTTCAATTCTATCCAAAGTGGGAAATTGAAACACCCCATCATTTCTTTTGCTTGACAGTGACCAGCGTGAAACACCACCAGCGACAACACGACCACAGTCCCGACTCGAAGCGACGGATACACAAGTGTCAATTTCTCGGCTGTAAGAAAGTTTACACCAAAAGCTCGCACCTGAAAGCGCACCAACGAACGCATACAGGTTAGTGATTTCAATATTTCAAAATGAAGAAATCAATGTCATACGTTTGATTTGCTTTGGGAAATATTTTCCAATAAGATGTCAATAATTTCAATCAGCTCAAGCAGTTAATGTGATTAGGGGAAGTGCGGGTAAGGCCGTCAACGTGGGTAAGCCCTGCACCCCATCACTTTAACTAGGAATCAGTTTTAGTGAATTATAATAAAAACATGCCATATTTCTATTCATTATTTTGAATATTTCGAGTGCTGTTTGGCCGAATGCCGTTTGCCCAACTGGCCGTTTGGCCGTATGCCGAACAACAAAACTCCAAAGAACTGCTCAGATTTGAAAAATGGAAAAATCTCCAATTTTTTTTTTTTTTTAATTATGATTTGTCTTAATTTTATGACAGGCTGCGTTTACTGTGCAAAAAATAACTAGAACATCAAAACTCCTATAAACTATTCACGTTAAAAAGAGTGGCTAAAAAATACCAACTACATAGCTTAAAACTTATCTTTAAATGAATAATTAATCCATCGACAATATAAAACTTCAGATTTATACAATGTACAATTTAACAAAAAATCCCATATTTATAATGTCAAAAAACCAGAATTGTGAATAGAAAAAAATAATTCCACAGGGCTGCCATTTAGGCCATCTAGTGTGTGTGTGTGTGTGGTGTGTGTGGATACAATCCATATCCCACTGACCGGCAGTGCTTTTATGGAAGAAACCTGCCTGCACCTATTTGTTGATAAAACTGTTTTCACCGATAGATACCAACATTTTTAGCTCTACTGTTAATCCAATTACCCATTTCATACACGTACATTCTGAGGTCATCTTCATATACATAAAGCCCCGCATGTATTCACACTTCTAATATTAAAAAAATACTAATTTGATACTGGCACGTATTCAGTTGTTAAGTTATATTTGTCATACACATGGATAAACATATATAATTATATGGATGGCAAATAAACTTAGCGGAGCGTTCCAAAGCGTTAGTTAGAACAAACGTCACATCATACCACGGAACAGCAAGGATTTGATTCTACATTCAGCTCTTATCACTGATCACTGCTACAAACACTAAGGACACGTGGGATTTGATAAATATCACTTGAAACACTTTTTAATACCACTTCTGTGCTTTCAATTTAACTTTTTCAAGATGCAATTTGTAATTGTTTTAATTTTTGCAAGATCGAAAACGACGCAGCAAAACAAAAACACGTCATTTTTACAGCGCGGCCTACTTCGATCTCTCGCCAGGGCTGCCATTTAGGAATCTAGTAGTGTTTAAAATATGATATCTCTTTTCAAGTATTCGGCCAAACGGAATTCGACTGAAAGGCCAGACACCATTTTTGCCGGCCGATTTTAAAGTTTTGACTGCACTAAAAGATTGAAATCCTGTTGTTTTGCACATATATTGTCATCTTAACCTTGTATCATCATCCTTGTGCGATTATGGGGGGTAAGACCGTCACCCATTTTTGAGTGCTTGGTGTAAGGGTGGGTCACAAATATGCACTCTTCTTGGCTCTGTCGATCAGTATTGAGGCCCCTAACAGCTTTGCAAAATTTTAAAGAATGTGTTTACGATCTGAAATTGCACCAGGATTTTAAAGGGAGTCTGTGAACATAATGGGAAACGGAATGAAAATATTAATTTGCTTGTCACTCTTGAAGAAATACTTCAAATCTCCTCATACATTGTACGAGTTAGATAAAGAAGTGTACGATTGACAAGTACTGTCGCATTATAGGACTCTCACTCATTTTCAACTTCTATTCAATTTTTATACTGCCGTACTCTAGCGTACTCTATCTACCTACCCTCTTCAGACCATTCACTAGTTAATAAATTACCACACTAAAGCTTCATGTTTGATAGCATTTCCAACAAACTCTGAGTTTTAGGTTACTTTGAGGAAAATATAACTCCAAAATATTGACATTGTTTGCAAGTTCTGTGTTACATTAATGTTATCCAAGCTGTTCAGTACGAACTTGTTTGTTCACACTAACGGCTCCATGTAATTGTGTTGCTCTAGTCATTTAATTTCGTTTCATATTCTGTTTACACAACCATCATTTTTCTTTTCTTTCCTTTATTTAACGTCGGTCTCTGTTCCGCAATCTAGTGCCAATCACCGACGGACATCGATTGCCATCTATTGACGGCAATAGAATGTGCAGGAAGGCAGCTTCCACACCTGTGTAGGATATCGCACCCATTCACAACACACATAGGCCGGGACCAACGGCTTTACTTCCCTTCCGAAGGAAGACGTGACCAGAGATTTTTATGCCTCAGAAAAATCTCACCGACCTTGGCTGGGATTGAACCCAGACCCATTGGGGTATTAGAAAGCAGTCAAGCTTACCACTACACCACCGGCACCGGCGGCAACCATCATTTTGGTTGAAAACAATTTAACATTAGATACTGTTTTCGCTTCGTGCAAGTTTTCACTCATTTCCCAGTTTTTTTCGGCACATAATTTAACATTCAAAGTGTTTTTATGTTACTTCATACGCGAAGTTAGCGATTTTCAGAGTTGGTTGGAAACCCAACAAACAATTTTAGCTGCAGATTAGCTTATGCAGCCAAAACTTGCCTTATGCAGCTAATTTTTGCCTGTATAAGCTAAGCTGCAGCTAAAATTTTTTGTTGGGAATGCTAACATGAAGCTTTAGTGTGATGATTTATTAGCTAGAGAATGATCTTTAGAAGAGGGTAGGTGGATAGTTCCGTTAGAGTACGGCAGCATGAAAATTGAATAGAAGTTGAAAATGAGCGAAGGGCCATTAATGCGACAGTTTTTAAAGTTAGACGCACATCTTTTGCCTAACCCGTACGATGTACGCGGAGACTTGAAATCTCCAAGTCTACAGGCAAAAAATGTGCGTCCTTCTTTTGCTCATAAACTGACTGCGGCTGTGGAATAGTTCTAGCGAGGTTTTTATCACTACCTATGAAAAGATTTTGGAAAAGATTTGATACATATTTACGATCAACACGTCATTCCTAAATCCCGAACATTATTTCTTTTACGTGCTCGTTACTCCAACCGAGTTTTAATGCTCTTCATCGCTTTATTTATATTAAAAATAAATACGATTCACACTAAAACTCTATACTGTGAAGGAACTTGAGATAAAACTTAAAATTTTCTGCTCAACAAGTAAAATCGGTCGCCACTAGGTCACCATGATCCTTATATTCAGGCTTGATGGAGCCTCGCTCGCGAGTTTGAAAAGAGCCGAGCGTAGCATTTTTCTGAGTAGTAGAATGCCTACTGCCAAATCATTCCACTGAGCTTCAAAGCTTGTGAGCGAAGGGGGATAAAATGAGAGTGAGGTTTGCTGCCATTCGTGTTCATGTCTTCTATCACACGCTCTTACTCTCACTCTGGGTGAACTCCCAAGTAACATTGCAAGTTTTATCGAGGTTTTAAAGCATTCTAAAAGTCTAAATCATGGTCTACAGAACCCTCATAAAACCACAATTGTTACTTGGGCTCTGAGCTTTTTGCGTCGAACAAAAAAGTCATCCGGAGTCTCGAAAAGCGCACCTCACGTCAAATCATCCTCTCGCTGAAGTTCACTCTCCCTCTCTCTCTCGAGGAGTTTTTGTTTACTTCTTCCATATTCCTGGGCTGGCTAAACTCGCAAGAAAAGAGTGTTTTAAGACCTCCAGTTTGTTTGAGGAGTTTCAGCAAGCCTGCTTATATCACAAAAAATACGATCAAGGTCCCGCTCAACTTGCTGTTACTAGATTTCGGTCCCGGAGGCGACGTCACAGACGATGACGACAACTGCACTTGAGAAGTATTTTAAATGGATTTCTGATCAACCCGTCTTAAACAGACGATCTTCTATTCAGTAAGCAAAAATGAAGTAGCCGAGCTCCTCAATTAATTTGTTGAGGCGTTATTTGGCAAAGATTGAATTAAGTTTAAACAAATAACAGGAGCGGATAGCATCCGAATGATCTGTAATTAGCGGCCCTCCATGTTTCTTAAGCTTAAAACTAAATGCTTTTCCAAGTTCACTGCTATAATAAATGTAACATCTTAAAAAAGTAAACTTTATCGCTTCGTTATTTCTATATAAAAAAGCTGAACCAAAATTTCAAAAATTCTCGCGCAAATACTTCCACCCTTCATCAACTCGTGGTAACAATCGCAATTTACGCCTTAATTAAGGAGATAAGCGCGATTAAAAATTTACAAATCAATTCGCGATATAGACCTTAATTAAAGAGATAATTGTAATTAAAGATTTCAATCCCCCAACCAGGGATGGAAAATCAGTTACATTCATTTCGTGCATTCATTTAAATTCATTTGTCTCTAACTTTTTTCATCAACAGAATACCGTTAAATGATGTATGAAGTTTTTGTAGCTTTAGGTATTAACTACAGCTTTTGTTAATAACTAAAATCTTAATCTCCTATGCAGGACGAAATAGAGCTGGCAGAACATGTTATTGTTTTTCAGTGAATGCAATTTACATTCACTGAAAAACAATGGTGGGTTCATCATGCATAAGAGATACAGATTTGAGTTGTTTACAAAAGATGTAGCTAATAGCCTACAAAAGTTTCAAACACTATTTTACGGAGTTCTGTTGATGAAAAAAGTTAGAGGCAAATGAATGTAAATGAATGCACAAAATGAATGTAAATGATTTTCCATCTCTGCCCCCAACCCCTTAAATCGGGATTAGGCCCCAATTAAGGAAATAAACGCGATTAAACTTTTTGTATGAAAAACATGGCTCGAAAGAAAACCAGAATCCGGACGTATAATGGAAATCTAAAGATGTTCCATCATCGAAAAGCTGAAAATAAACTTTAATGATTCAATTAAATAGATCTAGCCTGAAAGAAGGCTGAATAAAATGAATCCTTATAATCTAAATCCAAATGTTTTCCATCATCAAAGGGCTGAAAAATAAATCAATAACAGCCTGAACGAAGGCTGAAAAACGTTAA